GAAATGGCTGAGTTATCGAAAAAATTGTCATTATTGGCCGGACCATCCCTGAGGGGGAGTACAGGGATTTTTTCAAAAAAAAATATTTTCCTCAGAATTATTCACAACATATATAAATCGACTCAGTTTTTAACGCTGATTCCGAATCTGATATTAGTTTTGAACCAAATCGTAGCTTTCTAACAAAACATTGCCTGAGAAAGGTCTCAAAATGCACAAAAAACTGCATGCAGAAAGCAAATTGCCTAGATATCTCTCAGTTGATAAAAAACAAAGTGAATATACCTCTTCACTTTTTGAAGTATACATAACACTCGGATTTAAATCCGATGTTTTCGCATTTATTCTATGTACTAATAGTACTCTATATTTCATTATTTATAGTCCCGGTGTTATTAGTTTTGGTATCTTCATTCACTAGAGAAGTCCTTTAATGGATAAATTACTATTGAGTTGAAACTGTATGAATCTTGTGATAAGTGAAAAAAATGATTTTCGAACTCAACAACTCTTGTTAAAGTCTATCTATATGGAAAGTTTCAATTCAAGAATCCTCTCATTTTACGAGATTCACATAAAAAAATACCGTAAATACAAATTCTCTCGATTCAAAAGCGATTTACTAACAAAACAGTTTCCCCTCGTTAGTTAAAGTTCTACAATTTAAACAATAAAATCAAGTATTAGTATTCTCAAACAACGAGAATCAGTCTTATTAAATAGAAATTAAATACTTTTTTTTTTGTAAATCGTGTTTTTCTTTTAAAAAAAGAACTGGTGCTGGTAAAACAAATATTGCTATGTTAACAATTCTTTATGAATTACGTCGTCATTATGATACAAAAAATGGTGTTTTAGTAAATACAGATTTTAAAATCATTTATGTTGCACCTATGAAAGCACTTGCATCAGAAATGGTTCAAAATTTTGGTCGTCGTCTTTCATCACTTGGTCTTCAAGTTAAAGAATTAACTGGTGATATGCAATTAACAAAAACTGAAATTGAACGTACACATATGATAATAACAACACCTGAAAAATGGGATGTTATTACACGTAAATCAACAGGAGATACAAAATTTGTTCAAAGTGTTAAATTATTAATTATTGATGAAATTCATCTTTTACATGAAGATCGTGGTCCTGTTATTGAAGCACTTGTTGCACGTACACTTCGACAAGTTGAACAAACACAAGAATCTATTCGTATTGTTGGTTTATCAGCAACATTACCAAATTATATCGATATAGCTCGATTTCTTTTTGTTAATTTAATGACTGGTTTATTCTTTTTTGATAATCGTTTTCGTCCTGTACCATTAGCACAAACATTTATTGGAATTAAAGGAACTAATAAAATGATAGTAACAAAAAATCTTGACGATGTTTGTTATGATAAAGTATTCGAACAAATTAAAGTCGGACGACAACAGGTTTAAAAAGTTTCATTTTATTTTAATTAATAAGAAATCTTAAATTTGAAAAAGAAAAATTCTAATTTAAGATTCTCAATCTTGAAGACTGATTCGAACCGAACTCGATCGAAACTAATCGACATCAGGCAGATATTCTCATAGTCCTATTTCGATTTTCACACTTTTATTTCATATGAGAAAGTATATTATTTAGTTTCTTCGATAAACAACAACAACAAAAAACAAAGTGAATCATTTGTTGTCTTTCTAGTTCTAAAAATTGATCAATGTCATTGAGTATATGTTTGCTTGCTGTTGCTGCAGTGTTAATCCGAAACAATTTGAGTTCATGGAAAAACATTCATTTTCTTTACCCAAATTTAGTTTTTACACTTCTATGAAGTCAACTCATAACGCCCTAGGTGAAGAGTTCTACAAGAATTTTAAAACCATATTCGGAAAGAATCTAAAATTCTTGTTCTACGACAATTTTTTCAAAATTCCACAGACTAAAAAGTGAACAAACAACTTAATTCTATGCTTTAACAATGAAAAACATAATAAAATTTTCTATTCAGGTTCTTGTCTTTGTTCATGCTCGTAATGCAACAGTTCGTACAGGACTTCAATTACTTGAATATGCACGTAATCGTGGTGATCTTGAATATTTTCTATATAAAGATAAAGATGATGATGGTCCACGAGAAACAATTCAATATCAAGAAGCATGTCGACATGTATCTCATTCTAAAAATGTTCAATTACGTGATCTATTTCCAAATGGTATTGGTATACATCATGCCGGAATGTTAAGACAAGATCGAAATATGGTTGAAAAATATTTTTCAAAAGGTTATATTAAAGTACTTATTTGTACAGCAACACTTGCTTGGGGTGTTAATTTACCAGCACATGCTGTTGTTATTAAAGGTTTGATTATTTAATTATTTTCATAATTAATTTTAAGTTTATTTCTTTAGGTACTGAATTATATGATAGTAAAAGTAGTTCATTTGTTGATTTAAGTATACTTGATGTATTACAAATATTTGGTCGTGCTGGTCGTCCACAATTTGATACAAATGGTCATGGTATTATATTAACAACACATGATAAACTTCAACATTATTTATCTTTATTAACACGACAAAATCCAATTGAATCACAATTTGTTAGTCATTTAACAGATAATCTTAATGCTGAAATTGTTCTTGGTACAGTAACAACAATAGCTGAAGCATGTTCATGGCTACGATATACTTATTTAAATGTTCGTATGCATCAATCATCAATAACATATGGTATTAATGCAAATATGAAAGCAGCTGATCCACATTTGCATAGTTTTCAACGAGATTTAATTATTAAAGCTGCACAAGAACTTGATAAAGCAAATATGATACGTTTTGAAGAAAAAACAGAATATTTATTTGCTACTGATCTTGGTCGAACTGCGTAAGTTTAAAAATAATTATTTCATATTGTTCATCTTCGATAAGACTAGAAAAAATTTCCTGCTCTTCAACATACGACACAGAAGAGTAATCTTATACGTTCCTATTCCATCGTTATTATTTCTTATTTGGGTGAAGTTATCACTGTTGTTTATATTCATGTAAAAGGTCGATTTTAAATCATAACTTTCACGACATTTTTTTTTGTACTCTATTAAATCAGACTTTGAAATATATACAAAGACGTAATCGATAAAAAGAGCTGAAAAATCCAGGCGACGCTTCGAGAAAATACTGCTTCTGAAAAACTGCCGATAGATTTGATTAGTCTGATGTAGCCAGAAAGTCAATATATCTTGATCATTATAGAAGATTTAGATTATTGATCTACCATTATTAACAGACATAGGAACTGAAATATCATAAACAGAACTGTTGAAATTTTAATACATAGTTTGATTTTGCTTTTGTGTTATCAACTGCCTTCCATGAGCACCGTATTTTAGTTTTTTGAAACACTGAAGACTTACTAGGGAACCTTCCAAGGTGCGGGAGCGCTTTTCAATCGGGGTTTCGTGCATCTTGTAGCCCGTAGTGAGTTATGCTTACGGTAAAAAAAGTTCGGGTTTCTGGCTTGTTTCTGA